AGGAGGTGTGGCCTTGTTGGAGGAGGTGTGGCCTTGTTGGAGGAGGTGTGGCCTTGTTGGAGGAGGTGTGGCCTTGTTGGAGGAGGGGTGTCACTAGGGTGTCAAAAGTCCAGGCCAGGCCTAGAGCCTCTCTGCATACAGACCAGAGAGTACACCTCTCACTTCCCAGAGCCACGTCTGCCTGGGACGCTGTGCTCTCGGCTACGATGGACTAACCTTCTGGAACTGTGGCAAGCCCCCGCTTCAATGTACTCTAGGAGGTGTCTTAGCTGTGGTGTCTCCCCACAGCAACAGGACAGGGACTAAGACAGAGGCCTAAAGATGTAGCTGAGTGGTGAAGCTCTTGTCTGGCTCCCTCCCCAGAACCACAAGGTGGTTGGGGTGGAGGAACTGCCATGGAGGCATTCCTGTCTGAATACCGCACACATGCCCTCCCTGGGGGCAGGAATGGCATCCGCCCATGAGAGGGCACCCCAAGGCTCACTGTGAGATGACCACCCTGCCCCAGTTTGGGGCACCCACATGTGGACAGGCAGGAGCCAGCCTGTGCCCGCCGCCCTCTCCCACAGCCCATGTGTGTGTCAGGACAGGAAACACTCACTCCTTGGCTTCCTTCAAATCGGATGGATGGTCTCAGTGACACAGCATCCTACAAGAGAACAAAAAGGGAAAGCTTCAGTGGACAGAAAGCACACACCCTTCCAGCCACACAGGGCCAGAGCACAAAGCTCATTCAGAGACACAAAGGGTTGTGAAGGGTCAGTAGGAGTTCCAACTGCCAGAGTCCAAGTCACAGAAGCAGAGCCTGGAGACATGGGCAGCCAGCAACAGGGAGGGGTCAGGAGCCTTGGATGCTATTACAGGCCTACTCCCTAGGAGAGGAGGAGGGTACAGCTCGAAACGCTGTGGCCTCTGTGGAGCAGATCACCCAGTCCCCAGGCCCAGAACACTACCAGTTGCAGGATCCTTCAAACCATGAGCCCAACTGAGGTGCACATTACAAGCGCCTCCTGCTGTTGGGGTGGGGACACCTGTCCAGTCCTTCGGACACCGCGTCCATGCAGCAGCTTCTATAGGAACCCTGCACTGAAGGGCTCCCGCCCAGAGCAGGCTGACCACATCGCTCAGCCTCCAATCTGCTCCTGAACTCACTGGGTCCAGGCCACCTTCTCTCCAAGATGCTGCTGTCCACAGGCTCCTGCCCCTCCGCTTCTCCACTAGACATGGAAGTGACGCACAGCTGCAGCGCCAATGCCTCCCGGTGCAGGGCAGACCTTGAGGGGACAGGGGGCCTGCACTGGGCAGAGCCAGAACCAACACCACCAGCTGGCACGGCAGGAGAGACAGGGTGAAGCAGCCTGCGGCCCTACAAATGGCACCCAGCTGGACCCCAGGGTGGAGGTAGCGAGGGTCCCTTTGTCTTTGCTCTCCAGACATGTTGCAGAGGGTCAGCCCCTCACAGCAGGCCAGCTGCTCAGCCCTATCCCAGAACACCCTACACCCCCTTTTCACACAGGACCATGTACGAGAGGCAGCGTACATGAGGCCACTGTGCTAGGCACACGTGAGGCCCTACAAGAGTCACAGCCACACCACAACCCAGTCTCCTACCCAGTGAGTGGTGGCGTGTCCTCAGGGACAACAAACGACAGATGCTGAGAAGACAAGCCACCCCCCTCACAGGACCAAACGACGTCTGAACATGTTGTACAGGGTGGTGGGGGTTGGTCTTGTGTGATGCTGGGCACAGCAGGTGCACACTTGTCCATCCCTGAGCCAGTCCTGGCCCCACTGCACACTTCTGTGTGCCACACCAAGGACAGTGGGAGAATTCACAGCCAAAGCCCACACTGTTGAGATTTAAAGGGCTAGCAACTGGTGGAGCCACCCAGAAGCAGAATGTGAGCTGGACATGACCTCGGGTCCAATGGCCCCATGCTGCAGGAGTGAGTCCCAGCTCACAGAAGGATGAGGCAGTGCCTGGAGCCATCTTTGGCTACACAGAAAGTTTGAGGCCAGCCTGGGCTATGTGAGACCCTGACTAAAAAATAAAAAAACAAAATCCCTCACCAGCCAGACAGTATGGGAGCCACCTCTGCGCACTGCCTGCCTGTGTGGATGTCTCTGTGGATTAGGGGGCCCCAGAGCAAGGGGAAGTCCCACTCATTATCCTTCCACTTTCTTTTTTCAAGATTTATACACATGCTTGGACTGTCACTGGAGCCGTATCTTACCATAAATGAAAAGACAGGTTAAAGGAAGCCTTTGAAAGACACAGAACCACTTGGAGCAAAGGAGACAGGTCAGGTGGCCCTGCTGGCTGAACCATCAGTCACTGTGGCACTGAGCCTGAGGCCTAGAAGGTGCTCCGGAAGAGGAACAGCAAGTGCAGCCTGGCCCACACCTACCACCAGGGCCAAGCTCTCCAGAGGCTGGGCGGAAGCAGAACATGGGGACACCCATGCAACCAGACTTTTGAGGGCCGGGACAAGGACACATCCTCCAGGACATGCATGGAGTCTTGGGGTGGCAGCCCAAGGTGCCAGCTCTGAGAGTGGCCTGGCGGCCACGGGCACTCCCCCTCTCTGTAGACTCCCTGGCTGCTCATTCTCCCACAGCTGTCTCAGAGGACAGGGACAGGGATGCCCAGCTCAGCCTTCCTGAGACCTGGGAAGGCTGACCCCAAGTGGCTGTCCCCATGTGACCTGGCTGCAGTCACAAACCTGGGCTCCTAGCCATACAGGCTGGGTCCTTCCTGTCAACAAGCAGCCATTGGCTCAGAGGAGAGGCTCCGCCCAGCAGCCACCTGAACAACCACGCAAACCCGTCATTTGACTGCAGCTACCGAAGGGCTGTGGAAGGCATGGAAACCTGCAAAGAGCTGCACATGCTGGTGCGCCATCAGTTGGGAGGTTGAGGCAGGAGGACGGTGAATCCCAGGTCAGTCTGCGTTGCAGGACAAGACCTTGCCTCCAAAGTCAACAGCCTCTGGGCAGAGTGCCAAGACCCACACCCGTCACAAGGTCATAGTGAAGCCACAGAGATGAATAAATGAGTGTCGCTCAGTGCTCCACAACAAACCAAGGGCCACAGCTGTTCATGACGGCCTTGGCCCACTCAACAGCTGGAGGTCCACGGCTGAGTCAGTGTGGGGGAGACAGGTGACCAAGGTGAGCTGCCCTGCTAGTGCCTGCCACTAGCCCAGCAGGTGGTTGTGGAGGGACCTAGAAGCCTAGCTGGCTGTGGCTGCCACCTCTGGCCCCTCTGACCTGGGACCAGGCAGTCAGGCCATGTGAAGGACGGAGGGAGGGTGCCTCACATCCAAGCTCTTCACACAGCACAGCACAGACTCAGAGGCCTGTCTCTCCAAAGGTGTCCTGTGCTCTAAACCACGCACTCCTGCCACATCCCCGGCAACCCTCTGGTCTGGAGGCTCTGCTGTAATCAGGGTCCAGCACACACACTACATTTAGTGTGCCCCCCCACACACCCCCATACAGATCCACCTGGCACATCCAAGAACCTTCTGGAATGAAGTCTCACTTTCAGCCAGGTGTAGAAAGGACTACAGTCTGGACCCTGTAGAAGCCCTGCCCCCTGGGCTGGTTTCAGTCAGAGGGGACACAGCCCTCTGAGGTTCCGGCTGCTGAGAGCACCAACCGGCTCCAGCACCAGCCCTACCCCGATCTGGTCAGTGAGCGACGGGTGCCAGCTGATGGCAGCAGGAGAAGGCAAGCCTGTGGGTGGCAGGGCCTGGGGGCTCTGTACCGGACCACAGCCCTGGGTCTGCAGTTCAGGCGGGTGATGTGGTGCCAACAGCTATTCTAGGCTTGAGAAAGAAGCAATCTGGACTCAGGCATGGTGGTGCACACCTGTAAACACAGCACTTGAGAAGCAAAGGTCAGAATTCAAGGTCATTCCAACTACTCAGCAAGTTTGAGACTAGCCTGGGCTACATGATACCTTATCTCAAATCAAACCAAACCAAGAAGTAACATGGTCTTGCCACCCTAAAGCAGGGTGCTGTGGCTGTTACAGCTGGCACCTCCCCTCCACTAACGCGTCACTCAGGACCATCCTGAAGGGGCACAGGACTCCCACTAACATGTGTGCATGCTGAGCTCTGAGAGAGCATTGCAAGGGCCGGGTCTCAGTGGGTCACGGGCCAGGGGAGACCCATGAGGCTGTCCACCTGCACACAGTGACCACCCTAGCAACAAGGCACCAAGCACACAACACTCACGGCAAGTGAGCAATGATGAACACAAAGGCAGCCCTGTCGGGACCCAGCATGCCTCCCACTGGCAACTACGTGGACAGCACAGCACAGCAGCCCTGGTTCCCAACAGGTCCTAGCGAGACAGAAGACCCAGAGCAGGGGTCCTTGCAGGCCTCCGCTACACTCAGAAGACACCCACACTGCATTCAGGTCCCCAATCAAAGATCGGGATGGGTCTCTGGGTGGTGGCTTCTCTTAGCCAATGGGTCGGCGAGGGACTGGAAGAAAGTATCCACACAAGAGGCAAGGAGATGCCTTGGGAGGTGAGTGGAGAGGAGGGAGGGAGCTCCATCATGGGATCTCACGTTCACCTCCACGAGGGGCGGGCAGGCGGGGGTTGGAACAACGCCCAGACAGCAGTGTGACGACCCCCACCCCATGAAATGGGCTGACGACTGGGACGTGTTCCTAAATGAATGCTACAGTAATGTCACAGGGTGAGGGTGGACGGGGACACTCAGGGTTGTTGTGGAAAAAAAAAAAAAAGCAAGAAGAACGTGTCAGCAGGGGCAGGGAGTGGTGGACAGGAAGTGGCCAGCACTGGCTCTCTAGCTGAGGGGACATCAGTGTGGCCGTTATCCCGTGGGTACCGAAACATGGGGCTGTGGAGGGTGGGCAGGCACACCTGAGGGCATGGTAAATGGGATGGAGGCAGGGGGTGGGAACTGGGTCCTTCTGGCCCAGGGGCTGGAGACTGGCACTGGTCCCCACCTTCAATGATGAACAGTGATGTGGGAGTATAAGACAAATAGGCTTTCTTCCCCAAGTGCTTTTGGTCACGATGTTCCATCACAGCAATAGTAGTAACCGTAACCAACAGAAATTGGTATCAGGATAGTGGAGTATTGCTGAGAGACCTGACCACGTTTTTGGGAGAATTGTGGAAGAACTTTGGGATTTGGGGCCAGAAAGGCCACTGGGTGTTGAGAGCTCCGTGAGCTGTTCTGAGGAGCCTGGAATGTAAGAGTGCTGAGAGCGATGCAGACGATGGAGACCTGCCTCGTCAAGTTTCAGGGAAGCAAAGACTCTCCCAGGCCTTTTGTGTGAACAAGCTGTGGTGTCTGATCAGCTGGAGCTGAGGAATCAGCTGTGATCAACTAGAGACCAGAACTAATAAGTAAACTGCTGCTTCGCCAGGTCAGTGGACACTGCTCAGCTGGGGCTGAAGAGACTGGCGTCATTTGAGTGAAATCTTCGGGTAAGTGTTTCCCAGGATGAGCACACAGAAGTTGTGTTCCAGAAGTGGCCCATGTTGTACTTCCTGTCTGTAGCCAAACTTGGTAGTGTAAGAGTCACCCACGTCGTCCTGGTTCTGAAGACATGGAAAGTCATGGCGAGCCGATGAGGCTGTTGGTCAAAGTTCAGAGCAG